CCAGACCATATCATATATGCCATATAGTAATTTCTTATAACCACAGAATAAAATCAAGCAGTAAATCCTCTTATGCCTGTAAATATTTCCTTACTGCACAAATAGAATGGTGAGAACTGTAGAAGTTAATAATCTTCATACTGAACTGGGGGAGAGAAGATAGTTTAGAATAGTAACCTTGTAGTGCTGTTAGTTTGTAAGAATAGAACTGAATAATTGATGTGTTTTATCTTACTTTGTCTGTGTCTCCCTCCCAAAGCATTCACATTGCTGTTTCTGAGTCTGAAGAAGACTTCACAGAATGATTACATACAGTATTAAATAGTGCTGTTATGGGAAGGAAAGGGGTCATGCTGGAAATTTCCAAGAGGCAGAAAGAGAGTAAGGGTAACCTTGCCTTTTAAGAGGTTCTAGCCTAACCACAGAGAAGAGTGCCCATCAATCTCACTTGCAGTGTCTTTGCACAATTCTGACACGCGCTTCAAATCTGTGGCACTCAATATATAGAAACGTGATCAGCTAAAAGACATCCTTTCAAAGTCACAAAACCAAGAAATGTGATATGCTGGGACATTCTCCATCCGGCCACGAGTAACCACAAACTATTAGTAATTCATGCTTATTTGTCTGTCTTAAGTGAAATGCCTTGGCCAGCTTTGCCAAGACAGGTGTGGATGGCAGCAGACATGCTGGGATTGCTCTGTGGGGTCTGTGGATTTAAGCTTCCATGGCTGCCAGGGCAAATGATTTTGAGTGGTAAATTCGCCTTCTTAAAAACTGATGCAATTATGGATAGCTTCTTCTAAGTATAATGGAACTAGAATCACTCAAAGACACACTGTTTCATGTGCTCTTATAACAAGGAGATGTAATTTACTATAAATGCACCCACAGAACCACAGAGACACTGGTGCAACTGGAGAATTTCTTGGACCTGGCACTTTTTGTTTCTTTGTGCATGATGTAATTTATACTTCAGGTGACTTAGTGTTAACTGTTAGAAAGGGGTGCTTGACAGGAAAATCTAAAAAAAAATTATTAATGCTGTTCTCTTTAATCTTCCTCTTCTTGTTCTCCTTTATAATTTCTCTTCTTGCACTGTATGGCTCTTTTTCTGAGAGCTACCAGTTTTGCCTTCAAATTCTTATTTACGCTTGACTTTATGATGGAGACATTCAGCCTTATGACTAATAAGCTCATTAAGCCTAGTCTGCATCAGCCTAAACTGCTTTGACTTTAAGCCATGGAGATGCCTTTTGTGAGGGGCTCTTCAATCCCACAAATTGTGCCTTTAGAGCCTTAATTTTGTCAATTTTCTGTGTGGTTGCTTTCATTTACTTGAGAGGCAATTATCTGCCTTGTTCCAGGAGACTTTTGGAGCCTTCTGACAGGTGAAAGGAAGTATTTCTTTGTTACAGTTTTGATCCTGGAATTTCAACAGATGATGATAAATGTAATTAAAAGTGATTCAATTAGCCTGCTGTGCTGGCCTCATGGACTCAGAGTAAAGGCCAGTATCAGGTAGGCAGAGGAACAGGTTTACTGCTTGGGTTTGTTTGGTGGAATTTTTTTTTTTAGATTGTTTACTCAGTAGGGAAAATCAGATGTATTCATGTATTCAGAGCTGGCTACTGCTTCATCCTGTTTACAGCTCTCTTATATAAGTGAAGAAGAGTATTTTAGCTGGAGGTGGTTCCACATGGTAACACCAAATGTGTTTCTTAACTGTCCCAAACCTACCAAGAAACTGATGGGGGACTTGAATTTTTTTTTTTCCCCTGCCCTTAGGTGTAGGGAAGTGTTAAAATTTGTATTACCTGTTAATACACACACCCACTTGCTTATGAGTGGTATTTTTATCAACACACACTTCTTTCCCAGTCTTGACATATTACTAGGCACAAAATATGCAAATAAATGAAATTACTGCTTAATTTTCTAGCTTTTCCATAGGATTCAGATCCTACTGCATTTGCTTGATAAGAGATTTGTGACACCTCATGCATTATTAATGCTGACTTTTATTCCAGTTAGATTTTTGGATAAATTTATCATTGATGTAGGTCTATTAAAGACCAACTTGTTACATCAAAAGTTCAGGTCTACATCAGAGTTTAGGACATGCCATCATCTTGCAGCACAGGCAAACCATCCATAGGCTTTCACTGGTCTCTCTGGAGAGTTTTTCATGTTGTCATAGCCTAAAATTGTCCAGATTGTCACAAAAACTTCCTTTCCTCTTTTTCAGTCTTTTCAGAAATTTAGTCTGTAAAAAAATAATAATCCAAAACAAATGAAAAGAGAACTCAAAAAAGGCTGTGAAAAGTTGAGTTGTAGCCTTAGAAATGTTACAAGTCAGTTGAAGTTGCCTGTCATGCTTTTCTTTCTCTTTTAGTCTCCCATTACTGATTTTCTGTAAAATGCTAATTTCCAGCCCTAAAGGCATTTGGAGACTAACACTTCGAGTAGTTATTAAGCAAAGGACCATGCACATGAGCAGTGCTACTCACAAATGTTGAATTGTCAATATTGTTGTCAACACCATGTATGATTTTCTTTGTGGCCTCAATTGAGTAAGTTGTCAGGGTTCATATTGTGGAATGGTGGTAATCCATAGCTCCTCCTTCTAGATGGATGGAAATGCCCTCAGTTTTAAGCCTTAAAATGCTTTAGGATCCCTTGGAATGAAGAGGATCATGTAAAAGTGTGATGCGTGTTACTAGGTGTTTGCAGGAGTTCAAGGATGGGGGTTGCATTTTGGAAGACTGTCATTACAGGAGCAGATTCTTCTTTGATAAATTACAAAATTGACTGAATGATTCACGGCTCAGTTATAATTATTCCCAGTGCTAATTATGTGTCAGAATTATCCAAAACACTGTACCAGACATGGCTTGCATATGCTGTGTAATCATGAAACTGCACTTTCTCCAGTGTAAACTTAGTGAAGGCTTTACTCCACAAATCCTTTCTTTTGAGGGCTCCTTTCTCACCCAAGCAAGTCCTAGGATTTCATGGAGACAAATTAATCAGGGTAAGGATGTTCATGACAAGCTTTTAAACTAGTCTTATAGCTTTACCCTGTGCAGAAAAGCTTGAGAACACTTTACAATCCTTCAATACTCACTGAGGCTAAAATATATTTTTGCTGATTTACAGATTTATAATCCATGAAAATTTATCCTGTCTCATGTAAAAATGTTTTAAGACTGCCTTTTTTTTTTTCCTTCTTCCAGCTTCTGGAAAAAACCAACAATATATTTGAAGAATCTGATTCTGCAGCTACCAAAAGTCCTTTGCATTTAGCTGTAAGTATGAGATGTGTAAAGCGTTTGATCAGTATCTCCTAGAATAATTCCTTAATCTCTGTCTTTGAAGCAAGTTTAACCATAGACTTGTTTTGAAAAAGGTGGGAAGGGATGTAGGCCTGGATGTAACAAAAACAGGTTCTGGGCTGGAATTGCTAATTAAGTTTTTGGCAGCTGAAGCTCTCGATTCTTACTGATTCTAACACTTCAGTAAGAAGATGACACAGGCACTGAAGTGAAATTAAATGGAAATTCACAACTTTTATTTAAAACTAGTTTATAAATATGGGGCCAGAGCTTAAACTTTGATCATGGAATGGGATACTCTGATGTTCTTGTGGAGATGTGCAGTGCAAAAAACTGTCTGGTACACAACAGGGTGTGGGAAAGCGTGTTTTTAAACTCCTGAAGTGTTTTGTGAGAGTGCTATGGAAACTGTGATATCACAACAAAATCTAGCACATGTGGCCTCAGAGATCACAATAGCTTCTCTCTCCCAAGAGCTCAAGAGTCATGATCCCTCTTCCCAGTTCCCTCTTCCCAATCACAGAATAGTTGAGGTTGACATGGACCTCTGGAGATTAAGTCCCAGCTCTGTGGTAAAAGCAGAATCAGCTAGACCAGATTTTCTCCGGGCTGTGCCCCATCACATTTTGAATATCTCCAGGCATGGAGAGTCCACAGTTTCAACTCTGATAATAGTAATTACATAATCATGCATAAATAAAAAGGATGTTCTCTGTGAGTCTGACAGTAAGGAGAGGAGGGCAGTCCCTACAAAGTGAATGAAATATTTTCAGTTTCTGGGGCTATCCACTGGGTTTTTGCAGTGCCAGCTGTGTTTGTGTTGTTGGCTCCAGTGCGACTGTAGGTCTGGAAGTGCATGTACTTGTCACTGTGGTTGTTCTACCAAATGATCCAGGAATACTCCATGAAGCATCAGCTATAAACAGCAGGTCAAGTTTGTGTTTGCATTTGCACAAAAGTCTGGGTTGAGAATTGCCCTCATTTAGTTGGAGACCAGCACATGAGTTGAATTTAGCAGCCAGTTAGGTGATAATCCATGCAAACTCTGACCAGGATCACAACAATCAATTTAGTTTTTGAAGCAAGTGTTTCCCTGACAGATACTGTAGAATGTGAAAAATTAACTGTTGATTGACCTGTGCTGAATGGGCAAATTATTGCCTGAAACCCCTCATCTTGGGTTGTATTAGAAGGCTAGAACAAATCAAAAACCATAATTTCTTTCCCTAAACACTAGGAATTTTTTAGTTTCTTGGCAACAGTGTAATTTGGGAAAATCTTTTCAAGTTCAAGAGAGAGTCAGAAGGAACCAAGAAAACTGTGTGATTTTTATTGTGTTTAGGAGACACTGACAAGGAGGGATTTTATTCACAATTTATATGAAAGGTCTTTGAAAGACAGGAGTTGTGTTCTTTAACATGACACATTTCATACTTCTAGGCCTATAATGGTCATCATCAAGCCCTGGAGGTACTTCTCCAATCTCTGGTAGATCTGGATATTAAGGATGAGAAAGGACGCACTGCTTTGGACTTGGCTGCATTTAAAGGACATGCAGAGTGTGTGGAAGCTCTCATCAGCCAGGGTGCTTCTGTCACTGTAAAAGACAATGTCACCAAAAGGACCCCCCTCCATGCCTCAGGTGAGTGTGATCTTATGTTACACTTGTGGTATAAACCCTACCACGTGGAAACAGTTACCTTTACCTACCTACTATCACTGTGCACATTTCTTCTAAAGGGAAGGAGATTTTCACATGAGTCACTGAGGACTGATGCTTGTTTTCTGAGGTCCTACAGTTAAACCATTTATCTTCCATTTCATTGGTCTTTTTTTCTCTGTCCCCGTGGTTCAGTCCTCCCTCACACAGAATCTCATATTTTTCCACACCACTACTGCTCTGCCTTTACCTGCTTGCCTTTTCCATACCTCTGTTACCAACTACACTTTAAGATGTCTGGTGATTCCCTCGTGATGCCTTCTCTTAATGGTTCCTCAGCCAAAAAATCAGGGGAAGAGGGAACACTTGCCTCACGGTTTCTCCTTTGGAAGAAAGGTTGAAAAATACATGTAGGCTCTGACTGGGGATGAAATTATCCTGGTGTTCAAAACTTGCAGCCTTTTGCAGTGGCAACACTATGGAAATTCACCGCCTCCTCTCAGACCTCCTCCTACTCCTGAGCTTGTGAACTTGCACTTGCTGGGAGCCCGCTCCACTCCTCATGTGTGGGGTGTTAATTATGTAACATGCATAATTAACTGGGAAATGTAGACTTTATCATTTATTTGAAGGTTGTTATTGGATATGTACCTGTCAGGTAAATATCTGGAGGTGCCAAAGGGAACGTGTCTCCTCTGCTGTTCCTGGAGGAGCTCCGTACAGGGTAGCAGTGGCCTCTAGTGGGAAGGAAAATTAATACCACATGGATAATTAATTCAGGACCAGACTTAATTGTCTTTCTGTTTATCTTTTAATCTTGCTTAGATTAAAATGCATATATATTCTCTAGTACCAGTTTATTCTCTGTGTGTGATCATAAAAACATAAAGTCAAAAGGACTATTATCAATGTTGTCTGCAGCACTGAAGGAAATGCTTGTAATAGATCTCACTGCATACTAAAAATGCTTTCTGACTTCTTCAGTTTTGCATCAGAACTGAGCACATTTCTCCTCATGATAAATACTGATGGTTTAATTAATTTAAATTAATATTTGTGCTACCACAAGACTGAGCTGTGTTGTTCAAGAGCTTTTCTCTAGTTACTTCAAACATATCTTTTTCTGTTACATCATCACTATAGCAATGATTTGCATTTATTTAAAAATGTGGTTACAGTGACATAAGTTTCTAGTTGTCACAGCTGAACTGTAAGGGCTCTTCAGTACTGAGAAAACTAAATGGTAACAAAGCCATATTTTTGTTAGCAGCTCTGACTTGAAATATGAATTTTTTGAATAAATCTGTGGAGTAGAATGGAGTAAATTTGTTGACCAGAAGGTGTTATTTTACTACACACATTTCTTACTTTCATACAAATTCAGACTGTGGGCTTTTCCCCCGATTTTAATATCTTTTTTAATCACCCCCATCACTGTAGTATTGTGGACTTTTCTGGTCTGTGATACTTTTTGCTTCTCAGATTAAGAAGCATTTCCAGGGATAAAAATAAAATGTTCTTTACATCTACAGTGAAGCAAAATAAGTTAGATAGGTATTAAAAACAAACAACCCCTCCCAAATAATGAAGAAAAAAGGAAAAAAAATCCTACACCCAGGAGTGAGACACTAAAGAGTACATGTACCTTAAGCAGAAGGGAAAATACTGCAAAAACAGGTTGAATATTTGAACTCTTAGTAAAGGACATTCGTCACCCTCATGAATTGGGAAGCTTTCAACTGTGAGTTAAGTGCACTTTGGGTAAATATCCATTAAGACAACACTTAGAACCTTCCACTCAAGAGCTATGCAGAGCTCTGTGGAAATTAGCTCTGGAGTAAAAGCTTCTACCCACAACTGCTATAAACAGCCCCTTGCAACGTGATGATTTTCATGGTGCCGTTTCATAACGACACACTTCGGTGAGGAGTGTTTTAGCAAAAACTGGTGCCACCTGTCGGGAACTCGGCCTGGAGCTGCTGCAGCATTCAGAATGTTGTATTTGCAGTGCAAGTGTAGGAGGTCATGGCATATTTTCAGAAATCGAACAGAATTCTTGCTGAATTAATCCCTCGAGTGACAGTGCACATTTGCACACACAAAGGGCACTACTTGCACATGCAATACTGTGCACTGGAAAGAAACAAGAAGGCATGTGTGCCCATCCCCTTAGACTTGTCTACACTCATTCCTTCTAATTACACCAGCACAGTTGCTGAACACAAAGCTGAGGGGATCTGAAGTGGTGAACTGGATGATGGGATTCTCCGGAATTCCGTTCAGTAAAGGGATTTGTGACTTTAGTAGAGAACTCGCCTAATGAAGTGTTTCTTTTTTCTGTCTGTCCCCTTAGGGAATAGGCTTCCTCTGACCTCATAACATGGAGAATTTCCTTCACCTAAATTATATGTTCCCTGTATAATTTTAATACCACCAGCCTGTCCTCTGTCTAGCCTGGGGAATCCATTGCAAATGTTCCCCTAGTGTTAGTGTTGTAGCTCTGTCGGCAAACTAACATTCCCTGCAGGCTCTGCAATGCTTAGCAATTGCTAGGTCAGCACCTAGGAGCTTCTGTGAGTATCTATTCTAAAACTCATTTACCAAAATCCTTTTCAGATGTCTTTGTGAACAAGTTAAGATTTCTCTTCCTACTGCTGGAAGAAAGAACAGATCTTTTCTTTTTTTTCCCCCCCTAAGCCAGTGACTCATCTGCCCTGCAGAACTGTTTACATGTCACGTATATGGCATTACTTAGTGGTAAATAACTAAAAATGTCTTTTAATTTTATGGGTAGAGCAACTAAGACCATTTTTGGATGAATAATTTAAATGTGATGATATGTGCCCATTTCTCTGCCAGAGTGATGTGACATAGGTGGTGTCCAAGGGTTTTGCCTCAGCCCACGGGGTGTGGGCAGTGTGAATGCATGACTTGGTGTAATAAGAACACCACATATATCTACTGAGCAGAGCAATTGTTTTTCAAAGAAGAAAATACTTGTCCCTTCATTCCATGAAAGGCTGAAGCGTTTAAGCCAACTGACACACAGATGGGGTTCAGTGTCAAGCCCTGCAAAATTAGTAACTCAGAGCTGTTTTCCAGCAGCAATGGGTTACATTAAAAAAAAACAACAACAAAAAAAGCCATAAACTCCATCACCAAAAAAAACAAAACAAAAATAAAACTCCAAACGTTTTTGGTAAGTATTATTTTTGATAAAATGGAAAAACTCAAGGGGAATTTTAGTCTCTGGTGTTATGTGCTTTCATGAATATGACATTTGTATAGTTGATCATTCTTTGCAGATGTTTATTCTTTTCATAGCATGAAGTACTTGCTTGTACAGTGCACATAAAATTAAGGAACCTTGCTGACATACTTCCTACTGTGTTCCAAACCTTGTGTGCCTGCTCAGTCTGGGGGATTTTGAAATACTGTCTGGTTTAGTATAAATCTTCTCAGTAGTGAAAATCATGATTTCTGTTTTACTCATTTGGGATTTTTGTATCTTAAGAGAACTAATCCTCCTCTTACTGAGGTCAGGGAAAAAACAGCTCACCATTTCACTGGCACAAGTGAAATGAATTTAAATGAAAATTGGGAGAATACCGATTTCTTATACTGTGGACTTTTCTGTAAGGAAATTTCTTATCCATAAGCATTCCAGTGGAAAAGTGTCTGAAATTAAACATACTTGTTTTTCTTTACAGTCATTAATGGCCATACACCTTGTCTACGGTTGTTGCTAGAAGTTGCAGACAACCCTGATGTGACAGATGCCAAAGGACAGTAAGTTGTTTTTTTTTTTTTAGCTCTGCAATTCAAATAGCATCTCATATTTCTCACAAAAAAAAAAGTATTTATTTGAAATACTGTATTTCCTGCACTTCTCCTCATAGAATTTGGCAGAGATTACAAAGTACATATTCAGTTGATCTAAGCCATGTGGAAAGGACTAATCATTAATCTTAGCCTCTGCTTCATAGTTTAAGCATTCTTTTATAGATGTTGAGGGCCAGATTCAATAAAAACTAACAAGCTCCTGAGATGTTTCTGTAGAGTCTTTTTCTTTCTAAAATGTTGCTGTTTCAGGGTTTGCATGGTATGTTAGGCTGGTGCAGTAGAACACAGTGTTTATTTGAGGTGACACATGCATCGGAGATGTTCCTACAAAAACTTTACAGCTTGTTAAATGACAGTTGCAAAGAGACAATAAAGTGTATTTTTAAAGTGGGAGTGTGAATGGTTTAAAAAATTCATCTGGGGTGTATGGAACATCTTATGCTGTACATATAATGTCTGCACATATAATTTTAAATGGTATTAGTCTTGCCTAAAAACAGAAGGAAAATAAGTCTCTTTCAGTAAAAAATGGCAGATATGTTAGTCCAAAGTTTGGCTTGAATAGTTTCCTCGTGCCCCTTCATCCCCTTTAAGCAATTGTGCAGTTTTGCAAAAGAAATGCTTTGGGTCATTGTCATCTTGGTAACTAGCAGGGACATTCATTCACAAAACTTGGGTGTCGTAAAACTCATGTGTCACCAGAGATGACAATAATTGTGGGTTATTAAGAGAACAGATTGTCTTGAATGATGTTGCTCTGTAAACTGCTTAAAAATGGGTTTGTTTCTATTTCAGTCGTGGCAGTTGACTGTTAAACATCTTAATAATTTCATACAAAAGATCTTCACTTGGGTGCCATATGGATAAGCATGGTGAAAAAAAAGGGTTTATGGGTAGGAATGGAGAGAAATGTAGGGTTTCCTGATTTCTCTCTTTTGTAAGTAAGTAGGGGCATTTATAGTATGACATAGTATGTCATTTTATAGCTGTGACTGGTTTGTTGTTTTTTTTTTTCTAGAACTCCACTAATGCTTGCAGTGGCTTATGGGCACGTTGATGCTGTTTCTTTATTACTTGAAAAAGAAGCATCTGTAGATGCAGCTGATCTCCTGGGATGCACAGCTTTACATCGAGGGGTGACTTAATTTTTATGATTCTTAATTATTTGTTTTACTGTGACTACAACTCACTTATAAATATAGGGATATTTAAATATGGAGAACACTGTAAATGATTGGAAATGTGACCAAGCATAATCAATGATGTAAAACGTAGGACAGATCTGCTCTCAGTAGTGCTCTGCTTTTGACTTTATTTCACATTTGCTTTAATTAATTAGGTGAAATAGTGATTAGACCACTTTTTCTTGGCTCTAGACACTTTATCATAACAATCATTACTCTTATAACTGAGTACTTAAGAATTCTGAAATAATTTCTTTAAAAGAACTGGCCAGCTGTTACTTTCATTTTTCTTGGAATGGTGTAAGTAGGTAAGCCTTAAGTTTTCTAGAAGCGGTGAAACTTGAGGCAGATCTAATCTTTTCTAGTCTAGCTAGACTAAGATAGATTTCCCTGGCTAAGTCTAGCTTCTTATCCAATGTGAAGCTGATACAAGAGATGATATTTATATAGAATTTTATGATTATTGCAGTGAGCAGTTCAGCAAGTGAGCTTTTCTCTCTTCCTGCTGGATCCCATCCAGACCATTTCATGTTCACAGGCATCAATCATATTTCATATTTCCTGGGCAAGAATCTGTATTTTGTCAACCTCTTCACTCACTTCTTTGTTATCAGATTATGACTGGGCACGAAGAATGTGTTCAGATGCTGTTAGAGAAAGAAGTCTCTATTCTGTGTAAAGACGCCAGAGGCAGAACACCCCTGCACTTTGCAGCAGCTCGGGGTCACGCCACTTGGCTGAACGAGTTACTGCAGATCGCGCTGGCTGAGGAAGACTGCAGTCTGAAAGATAATCAAGGTTACACACCGCTGCACTGGGCTTGTTACAATGGTAAGCTTCTCCCTGTGGACTACTGGCAAGTTCAAATGCGGCCTCAGTTTTAGGGGAACGTGTTAACAAAGCAGCTTAAGCCTTTCAGGAGCTTGACTTGAAGAGGCAAATTATCTCCCAGAGCTCTACGTGCTCTCTGTAGGTAGCATTTGCTGTGTGCACCCTTCAGTTCAGAAGCCAGGGAAATTTCAGTGATACCTCCCAGTGACTTTGCAACTCATTTGCTCCAAGTCACAAGAAGCCAGGGTGAAATTCTGGTGTTACTCGTGTCAATGATGAAGTTGATTTCTGTGGGACCAGGAATGCTCCTTTGAGGTGTTACCTCCTTATTTATTGATGCAAGTGGCCATGTGAATAGGTGGATATTCTGAACTGAACTGATTATTCTAAACAGGATAATCTGAACTTGTTGCTTAATATAAGAATAAAGCTTCTCAGAACCGTCATTTGGATCATTTGCCATACATCTTTGGAGATGTAAGGCAACATACGTTAAAAAGAGACTCTTTCTTTCCTCTTTTTTTTCCATAAGTGCTAATATTGGCCTGGATCTATCTTGCTGCTGCCATAAAACAAAAAAAATCCTGTGTTTTGTTGCATAATAGCTTATTTACACATTGTATTCAACTTTGAACTTAAAGTGTTAAATTCTAACCTGTATAAACCTAATATGAATTAAGTGAATTACCTGCTTTGTGCAACACTGTGAAATATCTGATCTCTTATAGGTCATGAAAACTGCATAGAGGTACTATTGGAACAAAAACTTTTCCACAAATTCTATGGTAATAGCTTCTCTCCATTGCACTGTGCTGTGTAAGTAGAAATCTCCAGTAACAAATGCAGATGTTGCTTTAGGATATGTCTGCAAAAAGTAGCAGTATGAGAAGAAAGTTAGCTTTTTTGAGATTATTTGCATGAGCAAATAATTTTAAAGCTGACCATAACATTGTCCTTATACTTCTACTTAAAAAGTGATAGAATAAAGACTATATTTTTTGCATAACCCTCAGCTTTTTGGTAAAATGCTGACTTGTAATTACATTAGCTGTATTTCTGTTCCTTTAGAGTTTCTTCTCCTTTGCTTACAATTACAGACTTAGGCCATTTCTTCACATAGGGTGGAACTTAATAGCTCTTCCACTCTGAGGCCATGGCCTGGGCTATAGTGCCTCGGTCTGTGTAAATATAACCTTTGGAGGTTCCTTTGAAACATGCAGTGGCTAAAATAAGTTTGTCAGAATCAAGATGATTCTATTTTAGCACAGGAACAAAACCTTAATGAAGGACAACCTTTGAAATGACAATCTGTGTCATGCTAGAATGGTGTTCTGTGCAGGCCATATGTTTTGGAACACATCCTCAGAGGAGTGATTTCCAGTCTGACTTTCTTCATGGTCTTTTTCACTTCTGAGATAATCTCATGTCTTGAGGGTTTGGGACTTCTTATCCAGGTCCAAAGGGATCCATCAGCTTTACAGGCAGACTCTATTCAAAGCTCTCAAATTACTTACAAACAACAACAAAGTGTTGGCTGAGTTATGCATGTACTTAAGACACATCCTATTTACAGAAAGCAGTATGTTTTCATGCAGAAAGGGTGCTAATAGAGCAAAACATAATTGCAAATGCATTTTACAAAAAAATGCACGATTAGTATGTAGGATGTAACATGCTTATTAAAACGTGTAAGCCATCAAAGAGTAAGGAATTAAGTGCTCTAAAGACAAATGCAAACATTCCCAAATCCTGCCAATAATTAGAACAACTGTAATCTGTTCTCTGTTCTCTTAGAAGAATGAATGTCTTTCAGAAGTAATGACAGAAGTTACTACTGAGTAGGCTTTCCTTCACATCATTAGGAAGTAGAAAAGTAACTTGTCATGTATCAAACTTTGAAATTATAAAAAGTCAATGTATTAGAGAAATAAAAGCATATTGGAAGCACTGTTTTTACTCCACTTAAAATAAAATCCTTTGTGGCTGAAACATAGTATTTTAAATCAGAATTTCTAGTGCTGGCTTTGAAAAAAAATTTTCAATGCTTATTTTAAAAGAATATGCAGTTCTCAAAACTATTAACATGTGTGAAGCTTAAATATGTATGTAAATTTAAAATGAAAACAGCTGCTAATGCAATGTGGAAGAGTGTTAGCTATATTTTGTGTCCAGTATTGTTACTAAATACTGTTCATTTTCATAATGAAATGAGACAATTTAGCAATAATCAGAAAAAGTATTAATTGAATACATCCACCAAATCAAAGTACTAAATGTGTGAGTTGGAAGAGATGTGGGCTTCAGTACCTTAAACATTAGAATAAATCTTTCTACATGTAAGTATCTGTGATTGAGTGCTTTCCAGATCCAGGTGTGTTGGACATACAGACTAAGGATTTTGAGATATTAAGGTTTTAGTCCTCGGTTTGTGCTGGGCTTTGAAATTACCTTTATGCATAGTGAATTAAGGATCAGCTTTGCTTTAGAGACTGAAATCCATAATAGATGATGCAGTCTGGTTAAATGGAAAGATGATGAATATGCAGAAATGTGACTGAAAGCATTAAGACAAAGGCATTTTAGGGTAACTTGGAAATAACCAGTAAAAAGTATTAATGGGAAGTGAAGTAAATTAATATTGCAAAGTAGAAAAATATGAAGACTTATTACCTTTTTGAAAATGTATTTTCTTTGGCAGAATCAATGATCATGAAAACTGTGCATCACTACTCATTGGAGCCATCGATGCCAGCATTGTTAATTGTGAAGATGACAAAGGAAGGTAATAGTTTCTTAAAAAAATTGCATTTCATGAATCCATTCAGTATTTTTCATAGTTCTTTCTGAACCCCTGGAACTAATCCTTATCTGTTATGGCTGAGCTAAGACATGTCATGCTGACTCTTTCAGACAGCAGTTTGCACTGCAGCACAGTTAAATGGTGGCTCACTTGAAGCAAGAATGTGATGAAGTATTCCATGTCTTAGTACATATGAAAAGAAACACAAAAGAAATAGCATTTTGTTTGTTTAGAACAGCTATGACTATAGGCTGTTTCCCTGAACCTGTTTTCTTTGTTAAATGTTTAAACACATTTCTCTTTGCTAAATGAAGTGATACTATTTACATATAGAAAAGTATTTCATTAAAAGTTTTCATGTTATGTTTGCATTCTTAGTGCACACAACTGAAAAACCTCTGTGCAGCAAAATAATACTGAGACAGCAAGAGATATGCATTCAGCCAAATCCTTCACTTGTCACATTGATAATCTCCTCATTGTATATATATATTTAAATGTCTATATATATTTATATTTAGAAATAAAAACTGTATTCAGTTTTGTTGATTAAAACAAATTTAATACCCTCAGTAATGGTGATTACTTAATCGTGTAAGGGTAAGACCATCTCACCTTTACTGATAAGCAGAACTGAAGTAACAGTAAGCTGGGTTGTGTACCAACTGTCTTTTCAATTCTAGTAGTCACACTTCAGACCCAAAATGCCAAAGGGCGACTGCAAACGATTTCTGGTGTCTCAGTGTTGTAGAAACTGATAGCCTTCAAAGTGGATTGTATTCCTTCTGCCTTTTAGAGTAGTGCTGTTCCTGCAGTATCTTTGAATATAACTTAAAATATTCTAGTTTTTTTAAGTAATGGATCTGTTCTTTTCTGATAGTTCTTCCCATCTGAGGCTTATTAAAAAAAAAAAAATCACAGGAATAAGAATGAGGGATTGTACTGCTTTTCATGCTAGGCAGTATGTTCTGTTAAAACAAATACGCTGCTAATACGAGATTCTTCACAGTGTCTTATCTCTAAACTGTTATATCCACCTTCCTGCTTCCCAGGACAGAGACTGTAAATATTATTTAACTTACTTAAGATGCTGCTACTATAACTTTCTCCTGGTGATAACTTTTAAGTTTCGCAGGAAAAAAAAAAAAAAATTGCACTTTGTGGTTTTTGGGAAGGTGGGCACACGTTGACTCTTGTGATTCTTTAGCAAAAGCTGTGGCCGTGTTCCTTTCCCCCAGAACGCCCCTTCACGCCGCAGCCTTCGCCGATCACGTGGAGTGCCTCCAGCTCCTCCTGAGCCACAGCGCACAAGTGAACGCTGCGGATCACGCAGGGAAAACACCGCTCATGATGGCAGCTCAGAACGGCCACGTAGGGGCTGTAGGTAAGGACATCCCCGCCTCTCTTAGTGCTGAAGGGAGAGTGCTACCGCAGTTACTATCCCAAATGAGTCATCCTTTTTATCCCGTGAAAACTAAGAGAGGAAAATAAATTAATATGCTTCTGTATGAAGCTAACTTTACACCTGTAAAAAAGTACTTTTTCTTCTCAGCAGCCTTGGTGAACATTTGCAGTAACAAATTTGAGTCTTATTTCCTCCCAAGATCACACTGTAAAGAGAACAAGGGGAGTAGTAATTCTATTCTCCTGTTTACTTCCTTGATTTTATAGAGCAGTAAAGCTGCCTGTGTGAAAAGGATTGTGTAACCTTTTTCTGTCCTCTATTATAGGAAGTCCTGCTCTTGAAATGGCAGCTATCAGCAGCTGCTTTTCCCAGGCTAGACTATGTGCTATAGGCATACAGATTTGGGACCTATGGTCTTTGGAGTATTCCCTTTTCTCTAGCCTCAACAGCACAGGCTGCACCCCAAATTCTTTATATCCACTTAGTCCTCTCAGAGCAGGATTCACAGTTGTTCTCAGGAGAAGGTGACTCAGGCAAAACTTGCTAATCTGCAGATAGGGAAGTTCATAAATAAATTAAAATTAATATAAGTTCGACAGTTTGGGGCACAATGAATAAGCTGTTAGCTCTGACTCTGCTTGCTGAGTTACTGCACAAGATTAGTCTGTTCTCATTCACTAATTTCACTCCATGTTATAAAGCTTAATTGATTAGTGTGTATGCACACATATATTGAAACAGTAATGTTTTTTCCTCTGTTTTGACATGTTTGTCTGCCCATTGGGTTTGTTCATTGATTTCTACTCCGTACCTCAGACTTTTTGGTGAACATTGCCAAGGCTGACCTGACATTAAAAGATAAGGAGTCAAATACATCTTTGCACTTGGCTAGCAGTAAAGTAAGTTGAAGACCTCTCAATGCTTTTTGCTCATCACGATCTGTGTGAATGTATATTTGTGTTTATGCTCCCAAGTTTTTTTCTGCAATGGAAATGTGGTGGCCAAACTTGTAATGAGAAAGGGAACTTGTTCCAAGCTTTTTCTTAAGTCTGTTTCGAAGTTTGGGAGAAACAGGGTTACCTCTTACAGCAACTGAAACATAAGCAAGTGACACTTAGAGAAGTAAAGGAAACCCTTTAAGATTTTACCAGATAACCTCAATGTAAAATAGCTTAACAGGTTTGGTAGCAAAATAAAAATAAAAGTATTTTTTCTTATTCTCCAATTTCTGTGGAAGGAACCCAAAATTTTCCCTTGACAGAGTAGCAGTAAAACCAGAGGCATTGATTAGATTGGTGGTGGTGTCTATTCCTATCCCCTCCTTCTCTTAATTCCAATTGCTACTGCTGTTTCTGCAAGAAAAAATGCCCACAGGATTCCCTCTCCTGGGCCTTTTCTTTTGCTCCTACCCACAGACTGGATTCCAGTTTGATTGTATTATTCCAGTTTCTGGAGACACATGAGCCTTGCTGAATTCTCAAGGTCCTTCAGGCCAAGGTTCCACCTGCCAGGACTGTAGGCTCAGCATCTGCAACTTGCTGTGCTGAAACAAGATCAGAAATAAGGCCTGGATCAGTGTTATTCCCAAAGATTCATTGTTAGAACTCTATCACAGTGACGGGGTTTTGTAGTAGCTTATTAATAATACAGAAAGGCATTTAAAGACTCAGAAAGCGCATTACTGCTTCCTGAGATGAAACCATTCTATGTCACTAGATAGTTCTGATAAATTATCCACTGAATGCTCTCTCAAGAGAAACAGCAGTACTCTCTGAAAGCTGAGGAAATGAATTCATATTTAATGAATGAAGTGTTGAAAGACAGGTGAATGTGTAATTTTCTGAATGTGCTAAAACATCCCAGCCGTGGCGGTTCAAAAATAGTATTTTAAGGCTCCTATAGTTCACCTTCTACACAATCTTACTGAGCAGCATGTTTTGTATTTCAGATTGAGTTATTAAATTTCACTTTTATTATGTAACATTTTATTATGTAACATTTCTTTTGCCTCAATTTCAAAATCCTCAGTGAATTAACACTATTGGGTTTTTTCCCTGATTACAGGGTCATGAAAAATGTGCCTTGTTAATACTTGACAAGATACAAGAACAGAGCCTTATTAATGCAAAAAATAATGCATTGCAGACGTAAGTATAGCCTAATCCTCTCAAGTTCAGTTGATTTACCACAAGATTCCAATTTAGCATTTCAAATTCACATCTCAGATTTTTTCATAGAACAGTAAAGTTAATTTCTAATCTTTTTGAATTCATTCTCTTAAAAAAGACCAGAACTGTATTGCATTTTCTCTTTTAATTTTGATTCCATTGATGTCAATTCTATACATGATCTGGTGGAAAAAATTATATGAAGTAATTTATTTGATGACTATATCAAAATGTCTATTAATCACGTGAATGTGATTAATAGACATTTTGTAATCTGACTTTTTTTAGCTTTTTGAGCTTCACCTTAAATTGAAATAATTTATTTAGACTTATTTAAACTTAAAGTGGTACATTTAATTTCCAGAGAGTTTTTTAGGTGATACTGTATGTATAACTCCTGTCCATAGCACACATTATCAGCTGCAGCTGTTTGACCTGCACGGGGGAATCTCACTGTAGGAGATTCAACAGGGAGTTTGATTCAAAGAAACCTCTTCCAATCTGAAAAAGCACTTTTATTACGGCTGGGGAATGCAAAGGGGCAGGTGTTCTCCCCAGTGCACTCTGCCGAGCCAAGAAATAACATAGCCTTTTATACAGTTTGAAAGTAGCAAGCTCAAAATTATCTTTACACACACTCTTTTTGCAGTCTTTCTTATCTAAATAGACATCTAGTTTTACCTCCTATTCTTACCATTATGGAGTAGTTACGTAAAGTTTTATCACTTCAAGCAGTTACAGGTTATACGTATACACTCCTTTGCAGTTTGTTTTATCTAAATAGACACTTAGTTTTACCTCCTATTCTTACCATTATAGAGTAGTTACGTAAAGTTTTATCACTTCAAACAGTTTCAGGTTCCCCACCCCTCTCTACGTGCTAAAAAGCCTTCCCCATTCTCTAAGCTTTTTATCTCAATTGCCCACAGTTCGGTCAGAGACTTTTAAGCAGTTTTACATTTTGCAAAGTCACACCTTCATAGCTAAATAGCTAATATTTTATTTCATTCTCTATTTCAAGTTCAGGTGGCAGATGATCTCATGCTTGCAGAAGAATTCATTCTGTCTTAGCCCGTTTTACCCTCTTCCAATATGAAAATGTTTTTCCTGTCCCGTTAATGTCCCCAGACAGGAGCACTGGGTGTTGGGCCAGAAAAGGAGAAAACCAGTGGTTATTTTTAATTTCCAGCTGCTCTGCAATAACAGAGATTAGCGATCGAATATTCAAGGATAAAAAGGCAATACAATGATTCTGAACAGTCTGTAGTAGCCAGAATTAGGGATGGGACACAGGCATTTCTTCAGCCTTAGATTCATTTTCCTTTTAAATGTCAATTGTGTGCTGCAAACAGTGCAAAAATATGAACTTTTTAAAGAAAGGCTTTAGACTTTGGCCATCTTTGTGTGCTTGCACATATGTTTTATAGATATGGTATAAGATGATTATTTCAAAGGCTGCAATATAATTTAGTGTCTACAGTATAATTCTAATGATCCCAGGAAGGAAAACATTCAGATGCTGGGTATGCTTTAAGCATTACCTAAATTTGTTTAGAAAATCTGTTTTAAACTGAACTTGAATTTAGTTGTTATGTTTCTGTAGACCTCTCCATATTGCTGCACGAAACGGCTTAAAGATGGTGGTTGAAGAATTGCTGGCCAAAGGGGCATGTGTCCTAGCAGTAGATGAAAATGGTAAGTAAATAATATACTTTGACAGTCTTCAGTAGGACCCAACAGGTAATTTTACAACAGACCGAAGCAATAGACTTAAAAGGTGATGATAGACTTCATTGATGCTTTTATCCTTCCAAGAACAGACAATGAGTTGTGTGAGTACCTATTTAAAAACATAAAAAAGATACTATTTATTTTTCTTTAATATAAAAATGTATTCTAAACATCACAGTGGTCCCTTTTACTGTTCATTTTGCATGTACTGTCAACAGCTAGTCTTTTTTAATGCTTGAGTGCAGTGGTAACTTGAATTTCCTAAACATGCAAGTGGCACCGGATAATTCTGACGCCTTGCAGAAGAATTAAGGATTATGCATTCAATCAGCGCATGTTTTAATGGGTAGGAAGAAAACCATCAACATATGTTTGAGTGTGTCCCAGTTCATTCTGAGATCAAACCTTGTGCTTGCCATTTATCTGACCTAATCCAAGATGCAATTAAATTACTGTCGCTCATAAAATACATGATTAGTTAATGAATTTAATAATTTTGTTTCAGACTTCAGTGAAGTCCTTCCCTAAATATTATATAGCCTATAGAGAGATGTGAGTCTAAAATTATAATTTTAAAAAATATCTTCCTGAAATAAGTTGTTCTTTCTTACAATACTAACTTAATGTCATTAATGTAACAATTTGGTACCTCCATCTTTCCATATCTGTAAAGTAACAATAATAATACTCACCTATCATTGCAAGACATTTGAAATCTATGGATGAAAAGAACTGAGTGGTGAGTGTTTACTATAAACTAAATGCCACCTAGCTATACTTGCATGAATGAGTTCCACTGAAGCCATCTTACCCCAACCTCATTGTAGAGATAGGGAACAGAAAAAGCAACCAGGCTAGGTTCTAATAACAGGTTTTATCCTTAAAAGTGTACATACAGATCCAGCTAATTTGTATGTAGGTAACAAATGAAAATGAAGTTTAAATTTTATACACATTTAGTTTTTCTAATTGTAGTTGTTTCTAGGAACAAGTTTAAAACAGAGCCATTTTACACAGTTTAAAACAGAAACATTTAAGTACAATCTTTGTGTAAGTACGGCTCTGAAGAATATTAATGCTTGGAACTCAGTGGAAGAAGAAATGCATTGACTGCAGTCAGTGCTTAACTGTGCACAGAACAGTACTCATGTTTTCCCACCAAATTCATGTATGCTTCAGGCGCTCTTGAAGCAGCAGGTACCAGTAATGGTCACTGCCTCAGAATACTCGTGCTGCAGCACTTAAGATTTAGCCAGCTGCCAAAGAATTTGTCAGCTCTGACCATAAAGGAGGATTTGTTGGAAAGTGCTGGAGTACTGCACAGTAGCCTGTAAAATGTACAGACAGCAAGTGTAATGAGCACAGTGGCTTCCAAGTTTCGGGTAAGTGAAGAACTGCTTTAGGGGCAGCACTTGGACAGGAGCCAAGTTAAACTGCAGTGAAGACAAGCGTCTAATAGTTCCCCAGTCCTTCAGTTTACTGACATTGAAATTATATTAGCTTTGTATTTAAAGTGTCATGTATTTTAAATGCCATGCTTGCTGAATACAGCAATTAATTCTTCTAACACAATGGAAATTTGGGTAACTAAACATCCATGTAGTCATACCTGCTATCCATGTACCCTGTGCACTGGTCTAGTTCTTTTATAACTTAATTCCTAAATAAACTACTCTCCGAGTTGAGTAGATACTCAGCTGATCAGTCTTTAAAATCATTTGCTTATTAAATCCAAATATTTTTAAACCAATGTCTTTTATGTTCGAACGGAAGTCGTTGCTCTCAGAATGAGACTCATTCATACGCACAGAAACTGAAGCCAGTTTCTGTCCCTGTTGCTGTACCCCCCGTGTTCTGTATTCACCATACTGTCCGTGCTGTAGAATTGTGTTTAGCAAGTGCTTTTATTCAAATCGTGAAGTCTGTTTGCTGCCTGGTTTTAAAAAAATAGTGCTTGTTGTGGTCACGGTGATTTAAATGCCCCCCAGAGTGTGTATGTTCCCAGCATGTCTAATGTGAAATGAGTAACACCCCTGTTGCCTGGCATGACTGTAACCGGTCATACATCTCCCGCTCCGGTGTCCCTAGAGATGTATCTGAGGAATGCTCGGTGCTGCCCCCGGTACCTCAGTACTAACCATTGCCTTGTCTGCGTTTGTGCCCAGGTCATACGCCAGCCCTGGCTTGTGCTCCTAACAAAGACGTGGCTGACTGCCTGGCACTCATTTTGGCTACCATGATGCCTTTTTCTCCTTCCAGTTCAGTGACGGCTTTCAACTTCGTTTGTTTTAAAAAAGACAATTTGGGCAGGACACATCTCTGCGATGGCTCCAGTATGGGTAGCATTAACTCTTACAATAAGCCCTTGAGTAATAACATAGGAACAGAGGATGGGTACAATGAAAATGATTCGGATTCTGAAACATTTTGACTCATTGGTATTCAAAAACTTCTTTTCATTATTATTTAATTTCAGCTTTATTTTTTGTCTTTTTAAAAAGCTTAAATCTCACAACTATATTCTTAACTATTATTCTTGACAAGTAGGTATTGAAAGATTTGTAGTGTTGATGAGAATCAAGCCTTCAACTAAAAAAATTAGAGGGATTTACTGGAACATATTCCCGTTAGTGTTCTGCAGCTT